CTAACTAAATCCTCACTCACTCTAGGCCCAGGTGAGCCTCCCCCGGGGCCCAAAGGGGGCCCAGCAGGGAGGTGGCAGTTCTGGTCCTTACTGAGGAAGACAGAGGCAAAGAAGTTATTAAATATGTTGGCTTTGTCGTCTGGCGTGACAACCAGATTCCCCGTCTTGTCCTGCAAGGGCCCCACATTTCCTGGGGCCTTCTTTCTTCTCCCTATGTACTTAAAAAAGAACTTCTTGTTGATTCACCATACATGTTTATCGTGTTGTAACCTCAACTATCTTGTTCAATGTATTAATTATTACATATGTTGTAAGTTATATGGTTTATGTGAATTGTGGGATATTATATGTAGTGTCATATGCTAAGCGTTACTGTAAATATTTCATGTTTTATCTTAAGTATTTATTATAGTAATAAATTGTATATAATTAAGCACTCCGCCTCGGCCTGGCTCTGTAGAGAGGAGAGGGATCTGCTCTAGTAGCTGGCCCCTCCATCAGCATCCTGCTTGACCCCCACCACTGTCATTGGAGGACAGGGCATACCCCCCTGGGTGTACCCGGGCTACATGTGGAAAGGATCATAGGAGTGATTCTGAGGGAGTGTATCTGCTGCTGCAGCTCCAGTTAGCAAGTTGGTATGGAAGGTATCTTGCCATGTTGTTTAGACAACCATATATCTGTAGTAACCTAGATGACTTTTTCTACCTCCATCTGGTCAGGAAATTGTGACTATGTTTCTTTCTGATGTGGAGTTGGCTTTGTACAATGCCTTCTAAATTTATACTTTAACTCAATCTGGAAACCGAAGTTGATACAGAAATTAGCAGAAGCATGTTGTAGCTTATTAGTAAGCAAGTGATCATGTGGGCTGAAGTTTCTATTGATCTTCTGTAGGTTTCTGGATGGAATTTCAGGTGGTAAGTCTGTCCTGTGATTTGAAATATGACTCACCTCATTAGCGCAGTTGGGATAAATGAAAGCCTATAAACTAGAGTACATGCTAGTAGAGAGTTCTTCATGAAGGCTTTTAGCCTTGGAATTACCTTCCACTTTGCTTCATCCTTGGCCAGTATAGCCTGAGTGTGGTTAAGGAATGAAGCCCATCTATTTGTATAGGTGTTTGGCAAGGATGGAGGCTTGGGAAATTTGTGCCTGGGTGTAAATATTCATGTGGTAAGAGATGTATTTTGCAGAAGCTGATGTGGTTTTTGTCGTGTGGTTCCTTTTGTGTTCAGGCAGGGGTTGTCTTGTCATTTGGAATATATTTCAGTGAGCTGTTGAGACAACAGTTTAGCCTTTTGGAAAATATGATAATCCTACAAACTAAATTACTGGGCAGAGTTTTCTATGAAGGTTTAATATGTTAGGAGCAATTGTGTCAGTATGTGTTCTTTCAGCTATAGAATACATTGTTTTCATTTGTGCACCTGTTTTATCTTCAAATAAAACCAAATACTAAGGCCATTAACAGACTGTTTTACTTCTTATATGCACAATAATATCAATTACACTAACTTTTTAGATAGTTACTGAAGAGATACAGTGTTACCCTAAGACATGTTTTTTTTTCTAGTTTCCCCAAATCTGGGCCACATAGTTGAACAATAAGAACAAACTCTTTGTAGGTTACTACTGAGAGAGGCAAAGATTTCTTAGGGTGATATCTTTTATTGGACCAACTATGTAGCTGGGATAAAGTTAGATAAGCTTTTTGAATGCAAGATGTTCTTCATCAGGTCTCTGATCATAGGAACCCAGACACAGCAGAAGGCAGGGCCGAGAGAAATTCTCAGGGGTAGCTGATAGACAGTTAGCAGAGGAAAAGAAAATGATTACTGGGAGATCAAGGCCTATGGAAGAATGTCTTGTATTCCAAAGCTCGTCTTACTTTATCTGAACTACATAGCTGGTCCATGTGAAATCCCTGGCTCTTGCATAACTTCTGGACTATCACGGTTACAACATTGCTCTTATACTACTGGGTTAAGAGTGATATTTGGCTGTCATCGCTTTGGTGCCATGGAACTGTGTACATATTCAAGTTCTGGCCATCCAGGTCAGGGCAGTTGCCATCCTTTGGTTAGGAGTGGAAACTTATCCATTGCAGGCCTCTGAGAAAACAAAGAGAAATAAAAGGAAAAGAAGAACATGGAAACAGAATAAGAACAAAATAACTAGTCCCAGAGAACTTATCTTCCCTCTACAGCCTTGAACAGTCTGCAGTGTGATGATACTTTTGCTAGTCAATTGGCAATGAACTCCTGAAAGTAATAGTTTGTAGTCCTGCCTACATCCACCTTTGGGACCTTGAGCATTCAATAAGGGTGGAAGTAGGCTCTGCACTTTGTCAGAAATTGCCCCAACAGTCTGTCTTGCTTCCTCTTGAGTTGGGGTTCTCCTTTGTTAAGTCTTTTTCCAATCTTCACATGCCTTCCGGGTATGGTGAAGTCGTACTACTAGGCTCCAGAGTAACTCTCAACCCTCTTTTTGTGTGGTGCAGGGTTTGTACACATGGCCTGTGACTACAGGCGACAGTATTTCAACTAAAAAGATGGAGCACATGCAGGTCGTGAGGTTTTAAGTAAGTTGTGGCCCTTGGGCCCCTGCCCAGCTGTTGCTGTCCTCACCATTGCTTCAGCAACACCAGACAGAATCTCTGGGTTCCCCCTCCTTCCTTTGTCTTTTGCTGCTTGCTCCTGCCCCAGTTGGTGGGGCAGCTTAGTGCCATGTGGACCAGGTGCCACATGGGCACATGGTGTACCAGTGGGGGGTTTGTATGCACAGTGTGGGGAGGAGGGCAGGACATGTGGTGTGCAGCCTAGGGAGTCCACAGTTTTCCCTGGTGCAGCCTGCAGTCATGTAGTCACTGCCGCTGGGGAACTGTACAGCCCTGAGGTAGATGATTGTAGTTTTGTTTTGTGTAAGTGCTCCATGCTGCCTATTCTTATCTTAATCCTTAGAACACTGATTTTTTTGGCTGTCAATCAAAATGTATAGGAGAAAGTGAGTGTGTATGTGCCTATGTGTATGGGCACAAATGCTCTGCATGGTATATTTCAGAGCCTTTATCACATTTACCTTTAACTTTTGCTGGCTTCAGCTGCACTCAGTATAGTTGCTTCCATTCTACCTGCTAATCAGTCACTCCTAGTGTTTCTCAACACTCATCAATTGTTTTTTTATATGTCACAAACATTTTTTTTTCCATGTTCTCCTCTTATGTGGAGATAATATGTAGCCTCAGAATAATTGCTCAGGTCAGGAGTAGGAGAGAGATTCAGTCCTGCACTAATGACAGATTTTTATTCTGTGGGTGTCCACACATTTTATGGAGTTATTCTTGAATAGTTGTCCCACTTTAGATTCAAGCCCTGCCTTACTGTATATGAACATGCAAGTGTAAATAAGTCCCAAATATGGTCTGTCCTTCACAGGGAGTTACTCCTGGTTAACTCCACGTATGCATAGCTATAGTGGAATAAATCAGGAATAGTTAATCATCAATGATACTATTTGTACATAAGCTCTGAAACAGCCTTAACAGGAGTTCACTGTCCACATACCAGTGTGCTATTTGCTTTGCTGGCCAATAAGTGATTTAGACTGCATCCTATCTCTTCCTCTGCCCTCAGAGTGTCTCCTGAGCAGCAGTCCTGAACTGTGTTGTATTTGTTAAAAGAGTTAGGAGTACAATTTTCTTCCAGTTTGGCAGTAAAACTGATGGAGTTAGGGAAAAATACCTTATGTCTGCTTCTCGTTCCTTGTGATCCCTGAATGGACTAAACACAATTCTATGTTAAGGATGTTAGACACAATCTTATTTAGGGCATATTTTGTGGTTACTATTGCTTTATCTAGTGGGCCTGTTGCCAAGACCTCTATTTAGACGTGAATTGGAATACTTACCTTTTGTTCCTCAGTTTACTTTGTTTTCTTAATTAGATTAATCTTGTTTTATTTGCAATAATTGGGCTTCCTGGGATAAGTGCCGCAAGCTGTTCTCAGAGAGCACAAAAACAAGACTCAGGGTTGAGAGCATCCGGAACAGAGGTGGAGGCATTAGCTGAATCCCTACCATCATAGTCCTCATACTGAATTATAGGGTTGTCAGGGGAACAGGAAGGATGGGGATAGGGTGGATAGTTCCCTGACTTCAATATATTATGTATTGATGCTTTTAAATCTCTCATTCTACTTTTCTCCATAACATACATATTTTTTTTATTTTTGGGAATAGCAAGCTGTACACAATATCAGTATGCAATATATTCCAGTATATGTGCATACTGAATACTGAAATAGTCATGCACAGGTAAGAGAAGGGAGTTGATATGGGGACAGACAACCTCAGTCTCTGGCCAAAGGTATTGTATAATAATTCTTTGTCTTTAAGTTTTAAACATGTAATAGCCACATATCACTGGTACTGGACTTTCCAATTTTAATAAAGTTCAGGGTCAAATTATATAAAGAGATAAAACTTTTTTATTTGTATAGACTTGTACCTGTCTAAACCATTTAGTATGCAGGCATACAGCATTTTGAGTATATGGTGGGAAGGGGTTAAGTTACTGAAGCAAACATGCAGAAACAGAGATGTTCAGAAACATGATGCCTTAACTTTGCTCTTTTGTTTTGACTCTACACCCAGGGAGCTTATGATCATCTTCTTTCGGACATCCCTGTCACTCGAGAACAGATAAGTCGCTATCGGGCTGCAGCTGAAACCACACGTAGTGAACTTGCAGCACTTCTTGTGAAGTATGAATGCACCCAGTCAGAGGTATGGGAGGAGGTTGAAATTGTAAGAGTTATGTTCCTGTTAATGAGAGTTGTGCATGTGCCATGTAGAGGGAGTACATCCACTAAATTTCTGTGCATAGAGTGTATCACTTTCTTATTGTTAATAAGTAAATACAGTATTTTACAATTCAAAACAGTATTTCAATCTTTTGATTATCTAAGTGGCATTAACATTTATCATGTCCAGGTCCCCCATACTTTCCTGTTGCTTTTAACATGCTCATTTTTCATTTGTATTTGTGAAGGAAGCTTCATAGTTTCATAGTTGGTAGGGTTGGAAGGGACCTGAGCAGACCATCAAGTCCAACCCCCTGCCATGGCAGGAAAGAGTACTGGGGTCAAAACACCCTGGCAAGGTGTTCATCCAGCCTTCTTTTAAAGACCCCCAGGGTAGGAGCCAGCATCACTTCTCTGCGAAGCTGGTTCCAGATCCTAGCTGCCCTGACAGTAAAGTAGCACCTCCTGATATTTAGCCTGAATCTACCCTCTGCCAGCTTGTGACCGTTATTTCTTGTCACTCTTGGGAGTGCTCGGGGGAACAGGGACTCTCCCAATGCCTGCTGGTCCCCCCTGACTAGTTTGTAAATGGCCATTAGATCC